TCTAGACCCTCCATCTGTCCTGAGCTCCCTTTATGCCTCTGGTTTCCTGGGTAATAAAGTCACTGTCCCAGGCTTAGGCCTGCCTCTCTTCCCCACACAGGTGAGAGACAAGTGACTCAGGTGCTACACAAACCCTACTGCACCCCCATGCAGTCTCACCACCTCTTATTTCCTTCTAAATCCAGCTCTGCATGTATCTGGCTGCTTCTGTCTCACCAAGCATTTCATTCTCACATTTAGATATTCGCTTAGCTCTGAATTGCTCTACATTTGCTTTGCATAAACCCACTCAGCTCCCAAACTACACAAACAGTTCCTCGTGGAGGCAGAAAGTAGGCGTGCACACATTGGTGTTTTTCACAGCCTCTTCTGTGTAAAGTGAAGCCCACAAGTTGGAGTTAGCTGCAAGCAAATGTGGTTCATTTTTACACCTGCAGCTCATCATGATGTTTCTGATCTTAAATGAAGAAAACATTAGCTTTTTGAGATAAATGAAGGTGCCCAAATAATGCCAGCAGATCCTGTTTAAAATGTTTTCATTATGGCCATAATTAAGAATGGCACATTTTCTCCTCATGGGACTCAACTCAAATTATTTTTCTATATGATTACTATATTTTTAAACCATTATTAGGTCTTGTTGTTGATCAAAAAAATGGACTCTGCCCATGGAAGCCAACATCTGATTGTCTTAGACAATGCCAAATGTAGCCTAAGGTACATCCACACCTGGGAGTCAAGTCAGAGTTGTTTGTCATTGGTGTTTCCAACACTGATTGAAGAGTTTAGCAGCTCCTGATTTCAACCTCAGAGCTGATTAAGAATGGTTCCATTTATAACTTGTCTTAGTCCATTTTTTGTTGCTAGAACAAAACACCTGAAGCTGAGCACTGACAAAGAAAAGAGTTTATTAAGCTCACAGTTTTAGAGACTGAAGGTCCAAGCTCAGGTAGCCCTATCTGTTTGGCCTCTGATGAAGGCTGCATAATAGAAGGCATGACAGTGGGGGAGGGAGGTGGAGATCAGATGGCAAGACAGGAAGCTAGCATGATCAGGGGTCAGGCTCACTCTTTTTAGAGCAAGGAAATTAACTGGGATGCTGTAAGAACAACACTAGTTTCTCCTGATGGTGTGCCCCTAATTACCTAATACCTCACCCTAGGCCCTACCTCTTAAAGGTTCCACCGCTCCCAATACTACCACATTGGAGGCCAAACCTCTAGCACCCTAACCTTTGGGGAATAAGCCATGCCTAAACCATAAGATGGGTCATCCTTAAAACAGTTGAAACAGAGGCATATGGATATCATGACATCAGAGCCCTCCATTCTCCCAGGACAATGCAAATAACAACTCATGCCTGAAGTCAAATGCTGTGATGACCTCTAATCTTTGACTCTCGTGTGAGAGTTTGGTTAAGAAGGATGAACTCTTAATCCCGCTGATGCTCTCCTATAGTTTGAGGAGCAGGCCAGGCACCCTCCCTAATTTCTAAGGCTTCTTAACACTTGAATTTTTTTTAACCTTACTTCTCATCTTTGGCCTTAATATATTGGAGCTATTTTGTTGCTTTAGTTTTAAGAATAACTTAGAAATCACAAATTTGACATATATCTCACAGCAACTCACCCCAGCATTTTACCATTAAACTCAAGTTCACATAAAATCTATTTAAACAACTGAGTCTATTTTTCTTTTCTAAGAAAAGCCCTGAGAGGAAACCCTTCAGAAGCACCTCATTTCTCTGGAATTGCGTGTGCCATCTCTAGAACAAAGTCTTGAAATTCTCTTGGTATTGAGAACAGCTGCCTGAGTCTTTTATCAGATTGACTTTCTGCTCATGCCACAGAGAGTTATTCTTTTTGTGTAAAGGGATTTTGAAGATTAATAAGTAACAGGATGGGTGCACATAGATTTGTGAACATTATAATTTTTTTTAATGTTCTTGCATGTGTACTCTTTGGAAGAAAAATGCAGATGTCTTGTTCTGTGTAGACTGACTTAAAGGCAAATCCTTGTGTCTCTGACTCAGACTTCAGTAGATTTTTGGTGATCCACAATTCCCTCCCTTTGACAAGAGGTGAGTTTAGGTCTCCCAAAGAGCTCCAGAAAGCTTTATTTGGGGAATAAGGCCTTGCCTGTGCAGCCATAGTAAACATATTTCAAGCCCAGACTCTTGCAGCAGCAGGTAGTGAATAAAGAGATGGGTGGGAGGCTGCCCCTGACTGTGCAAGTCAAAACCAAGCTCTGGAATCCTTGCGTCTGCAATGTTCCCTGTACTGGAAACATAAGTGTATATGTGCGTGTCTGTGTGCATTTCTCTAAACATGCATACTTTAAGTTCATTTATTTTGTACTTTTGAAAACTGGCAGAATCCCAGTCATAAAAACAGAAACCAGCCTAGGTATTTTAAGCAGAAAGGGATTTAATAAAAGGATTTTCAGAAGGGTTTGGAAAAAAGGAAAGAGATTGGGAAGGACAGTTCTTACAGGGTCTTGGTGGTCAGCTCCTGCTCTTCTTGATGGCCAATTTCAAAGCCCACCACACATGTGAAGCCAGATGCCTTTGCCCCCAAGTAACCAGGTAGTGGTCACAAGCACCGGCTGACTCCTGCAGCCACCAACCCCTGTTGTCACTGCCAGGACTGGAACTGGAGCTGGTGCTAAGTCCAGAAGCAGAATTCTCACCCCTCCTCCTGCCTTCTGATCTTGTGCTAGCTTCTTAAACCTAAACAGATCCCTGCTCCTGCTGGCAAGGTGTCCAGAAAAATGCTGTGTCCACACCTTCAGCACCCTAGCATGCAGAAAACATGAAAGGGCAGAAAGAGCTGGCCCACGTACTTTAGAAAAATGATATCACAGCACCTTAACCATTTAGACATTTATTTTCAATTAATTTTATTTAAATATGAAAATTTAAATTTCTGAAAATCCTCAGATATGCAGAGAGTGGACAATGAGCCAGTGAAAAGATGCTGAACACCCTGTTCGGTCAGCCTTTGAGGAAATGCAAATCAGAACCACAACTGGGGTGCTGGGGTCAATAGCTCAGAGGTAGAGTGTGCTTGCCTAGCACGTGTGCAGTCCTGCTCTGATGGAAAAGTGAAGAAGACCATTAGTTTGATATTAAAGGATATTTTGAGTGGTTAACGACTATCTAGGGCCATTTCAACTCATAGATTTCAAAAGCAGCTGACCAAACATGTCAAAAGTGTTGCTGTTGCTGGGCCTCCCTACATTGTGTATGGAAGACCTGTACTCTACACTACAACCCAACTGCTTGAAGTACAGCTGGAAGAAGCAAATTCCACTTGTGGGTTTTTATATTTCACTCTGGTTGATACTTTTCTAAAGCAAAATGTTGGCTTTTTTCTGGTAATTAAATCATCCATTTGCTTTCTGAGATTCTATGTGTTTTTATTTTAAGTGCATTCTTCACATGTTTAATTCTGATGGAAAATTATTCCTGACAATCATCCACATGCCTACTTGAAGTGAACTCATATCTTCCTAAACCCAACCTGATAATTACGATCTGGTAAACTGTATTCCATTACTACTGTCATGTAAATAGGTAAAACTCTGCATGTCAAATGAACTTCTCAGCCACTCTGAGTTGTGCCATCTATTCCTGCCCCACCTTTTTTTTCAGGCTGTGTGAAGTAGCAGGCCATTGGCTACAGAGTCAAGACAAGACGTTGGGTCTTACAAATAAATAATATAGTTCGCTTAGGAAAATGAATTTATGAAACTGCTCCCAGTTCCTGCTCCCGTGACATTGATTTTTGCGTCATGCTGTGGTCATAAGCAGGGGTGTCCAGGCAGGGATGATGGTACCCCTTAGAGACAGTGGGGGCAGCTGAAAGCTCCTAAGAGAATCAGTTTTCAGATTCTCAGTTCATGAACGCTGTCTTCTCCTGAATGGATTTGCCTGAGAACAGGAATATGGTGAGGAAAGAAATCATAGACTCTCTTGTCTTACTGTGTTGCTTTGATTGAGGTTTTGCCACCCACAGGTCATCAAACTGTGAACAATTTAAAATACTAGTTTAGATATTCAGAAAGTAGTTAAAAAAGAAAGTGACTAATGACATGATTAAAATCTTTTTCTAACTCTGGCAGTTCCCATTTCTTTCTTACAGTAAAATTGTTCAAGGACTTACAGGCTGCGTTGGCTGTTAGAAAAGTAAAAATGATGTTGGTGACAGGTGAGGATGCAAAGTTTGGTGTGTAATTGAGATCGACAAAGAACTGAGTACCATAACTGTAACAAAACCCTCCATTCCCATTGATTAGTATATACACGCAAGGTTTCTTGGATTGTAAATTTATAAAAATGAAAAACAGGAACAGACTTGATGTTGAGCTCTGCTCTTTCTAGTAATAAGCCATATTCCTCTACCGATTACACAACCTAACTGTGAAAGCCTGTCCTCTCCTAACATCCTTCCCAAAATGGAAAGGTACACTCCCATCAGAACATTACTCCTCTGTAATAACTATTTTTCAAAATTCATGGCAGCTTATATTTTACCAATTATGGTCTGAAAGTGATGATAATATTAATTCAGTTGGAAAAACTTGTAATATTTAAAGACTTTCTTTCGCAGGAAACTTTTTAAAGTTAAATGTCAATTTTATGTGCAGTTTCTACTGTATTGTACATGGAAGGATGGTGGCGACTTTGCTTTTACTGGGTGATGACAGGTGTCCAGTCACTATGGTGTTTACATTCTACTGGACGTACTTGATAGGTTAGTGTACCATCATTACTTTAAATATTATTATTTCAGATGCCAGCATTTATGCTATACTATAAATCCTTTGTAGTTACCTAAAGTAACAAGAAAACACAAACGTGTGTGTGATACATTTTACAACGCATTAAAGTTGTCTGGAAGCAAACATGCTTAGAGATTGTTGGTGTGCACAAGAGAGTGTGGTGTTTTCAGGATAGCCTCGCCGCATGCGTCTCCATGTGTGTTTCTTTGTTTCTCCAGTTTGATCTTGTCTGTGTCAACGCATGGATGTTGGACCTCACTCAAGCCATCTTAAACTTGGGCTTCCTTGCTGGGGCGTTCACCTTGGGCTATGCAGCAGACAGGTATGTACAGATGTGACAACTATTTTATGTCACTGTAATACACCATATGCACATGGATACAAAAAAAGGTAAAGCTGTCCCTGGTGGGTTTGAAAACTTCTAGGTGAAAGCAGTGGCACTGTGGCTGGGTGACAGGTGGCCTGCCAGATGCAGTGGAATTGATTCACTGTGTCTCAGTAACAATTCAGTGGTTGCAGATTGATTAATTTAGTCCTAAAATTCACCCACTTCCAATTTATTTCACTTAATTAAAAAAAAAGAAATCCTTATATTTTATCCTACAAAATTTAAAACTCTGTGAAAAATAAATCTTACCAAAACTGTTAAAGGATTCTTACATATTATTTTATATACATAAACGTAACTGGCTAGAGGCAGATGTGGTGAGTGTGTCTATTCAAGATAGTCGTGCTTTCTACTGGAATATTCTGGTTTCTACTGGAATATTCTGGTTTCTGACGCTATTGTTACTGGTCTTCATATCCACGTTCAACTCTTTTCCTTTCTCCCAATTCTAGCTACAAAAATACTTGGAACCATTCTCTCTGTACACCTTAGAATGGGAGTCTTTGGCTAAGTATGGCCTAATACTTCTCTGGTGCCTGTCCTTGTGGACCCACCACTCAGTGAATGACACACAGGGTCCCTTTTAGAGAACTGTAAACAGCAATTAATTAGCTAATTCAACAGTAAAATGCCCCAATGTTGGAGCCGATTAAAAATCCAAGTTTGAACAAGCTGGTGTTTCTCTGGTGGTAGACCTTCCTTTCTGCTTTTGTCACTTTCTCTTTCTCCCTCTTCTTTTCTCTCATCCTTCCCTGTGCTGTCTTCTGCACCCAGGCTTTTCCTTTACCCTTCTGTGTCTGCTGCTCTTCCTCCTTTCCTTCTCTCTTTATAAGCTTTCAAACTTCATCATTGCTTTCATCATCACTTTCTTCCTAGATGGCTAAAATTTGGAATTGGGTTACATTTTTAAAATATTTATTTATTTTATTTTGTTCTTACTCTTTCTAATTTGAATTTGTTGTTTGGTTAATTTTGATATTTTGATACCAGGTCTTGCAACATAGCCAAGACTGACCCTGAACTCCTAATTCTCCCTCCTTAGTTTCCCAAATACTTTTATCAGGGCACATGCCACCATGCCTAGCTAGAGAATATTAAAGTAGATTTTGCTTGTTTTGCATTTTTCTCCTTTACAAGCAATAAACATATCTTCACACCAAAGTAACTCTACTGAAGGAGAAAATCTGTGTTCTAGTCAGGAGTGAAGTAGACACAGTTCTTTTTTCTTTTCTTTCTTTTTCTTTTTGTTGGCAGGACAGGAGTTTGAACCCAGGGCTTCATGCTTGCAAAGCAGGCACTCTACCGCTTAAGCCACACATCCAGTCCATTTCGCTCTAGTTATTTTGGAGATGGGGATTTATGAACTACTTGCTTGGGCTGGCTTCTAACCGCAATCCTGCCCATCCTCAGTCTCCCATGTAGCTAGAATTATAGGTGTGAGCCACTGGTCCCCAGCCCAGATACAGTTCTTCTAGATGACTTGCCTTAATTAGCTCTGCCTCCTGTCAGCATTGCCGCCTTTCAACTCCTTCAGTTCTGCATCTGTGATTTCTATCCTTGAATGAAAGGACCAGAAATCACTTAATAGGCCACATACATTTGAGAGGAAAGTGTACAGGGGCATAATCTGAATTTAAAAGCCTAGATTGGGGCTTCCAGTTTCTGTAGATGAAGAGCCTGGAAGTTGCCACTCAATCCCAACACGTGTAAAGCTAAGAAAACTGAAAAGTCAGTAGCTCTTCTTAGCTCTGTCAGGGGTGAGGTCCCAGGGTAAACTGCTACCACTGATTGGAAAGGCAGGTAGGCAGATACAGAGAATTGAAACTCACCTGAGGAGAAATTGCTGGATAAGGAAAACCCAAATTGAATTGGTGAATTCCTGGACTGAGTGTGGACAAGTCCAAAAGTTAAAAACTCCAGGGGGTGGCTGGGGTTGTGGCTCAGTGGTAGAGAACTTGCCTGGGTTCCATCCCAGCACCACAAAAGAAGAGGAGGAGCAGAAGGGAGAGGAGAACTACTACAGTGGCACCCAGTAATGGAAAGATCCCCATGTATTTGTGATTTTTTTCTAACCTCCTGGAGCTCTACCAGGTTCTCACAGTGAATATCAAGAGAAATCCCCTCAGTTTCCAGCAGAGTGAAGGAAGAGGAGTGAAAAGAACCATTTCAAAATATGTCAGAGCACTCTGTTTTTCTTAACAAGGACTGGCCTCAGGAGAAACAAGTTAACCAGAACCTAACCTGCTGGGGTTTATCAGGGCATTGAAGAGCTGGAGGAAGGAAACACCCAACTCTAGTTAGCACTAGCCTGCCATGTTGGGAGAGGAAATACCCAAATCCAGCCCACTCCAACCACCTGGTTCCAACTAAAGGGAAGAAAATACTTGTAATGTTCAAAGTCTAGAGCTCATGAAATCACTGAGACTTGACCATAATCTACAGAACACGTCTTCTTTCCATTTACCTCTCGTCATATCACTGAAGACCCATTACACAGTTCATCTAACCCAGGATAGTACATCCAGCTAAAAAAAAAAATAAATAAGAGGCATACTAAAATGCAGACAGACAAACAGAAAACACCACAGCTTGAAGAGAAATAGCAAGTATCAGAACCAGACTCTGATGTAGTAAGGGTATTGTAATTATTGAGCTAATTATTGAGACTATGGCTAATATGGCAAGGATTAATGGATGCAGTAGACAGCATGCCAACACAGATGGCCAGTGGAAACAAAGATATGGAAAGTCTCAGAACCAAGAGGAATGCTGGGGATGAAACCCAATTGCTGCCACTGGGTGAAGACATGGCTGAAGAAACAACCTCTGGCCTTGAGAATATCTCAACAGAAATTTTCAACACTGAAAACACAAAAAAGACTGAAAAAAAAAAAGTCCAGAACAGAATATTCAATAACTGTGAGGCAGCTACCTATGCATAGTGAAGAGAGAGAGAAACAAAAGAAATATTTGAAGCAATACTGACCAAGAATTTTCCCCAAGTTAATCTTAGACACCAAGCCACAGATTCAGCACACTCAGAGAACACCAGGCAAGATAAATGCTCCCCAAAAGTGTACAGGGGTTTATCATATTCAAATGACACAAAATCAAAGTAAGGAAAAATTCATGAAGGAAGCTAGAAGGTAGGGAGACCTTACTTTGGAGAGGAGCAAATATAAAAAAAATTACATTTTACTTTTCCTTTAAAACTTGCAAGCAAGAAGAGACTGAAGTACAATATTTTAAATGTTGAAAGAAAAGTGCTTCCAACCTAGAATTCTGTATTCTGCAAAATTATCCATCGAAAAAGAAATAAAGATCTTCTTAAGCAAACAAAAACTGAAGGAATTTGTTGCCAGTAGGCCTACCTTGCTAGAAATATTAAAAAGTTCTTTAAAGTGAAGGAAAATGATATAGGCCAGAAACTCATATCTACATAAAGAAAGGAAGAGTACTAGGGAAGGAATAAGTGGAAGTAACATAAAAATTTTATTTTCTTATTCTTAACCTAGCAGATAACAGTTTATTAAAAATAATAATAGCAGTGATGCATTTGATTATATATGTTTACATATTTATCATAAATATCACATATATGTATATGTTTGTTTATGCTTATGTACAAGTGAAATGAATGGCAGCAATTGTACAAGGGACAGGAGGGGAAAATAGGATTATTTTGTTATTATAGGTACTTGTGCTAGTTGTGAAATTGTTTAATGTTATTTGAAAGTAGACTTGGAATAATTGTAAATGTATACTGCAAACACCAGGGAGACCACTAAAAATAAGTGAAAGGAAGGGAAGGAGGTATTTTTCTTCTTTCTAAGAAAGAAGAAAATGGAATCACATAAAATAATCAATTAAAACCACAAAAGGCCGAAAAAGTATGGGAGACAAAATAGAAAAATAAAAGAAAATGGTAACAAATATAGTAGATGTTAATTCAACTATATCAATAATCACTTTGAATACATCAATTAAAAGACAGATTATCAGAGTGGATGAACACTAAAGACCCAACTATGTGTTGCCTACAAGAAACTTGCTTTGCATATAAAGATGCACATATGTGAAAGGTAAAGGAGGGGGGCTGTGGTGGCTATTACAGGGATGATTAGATCATGAGGGTTCTCACCTAATGAGGGATTAATCCTTTGATGAATTCATAATATGATAGCATTATTAGGATATGATAAAAAGTAGGAAGTTGGGCCTAGTTGAATTAAGTCAGTCACTGGATGCTATAGTGCTATAGTCCTTGGAAGCTGTATCTTGCCCTGGCCCCTTTCTGTATTCCTGTATTCCTCTTTCTCTGCTTTCTGTCCACCAAGAATTGAGCAGCCTTCTTGTCCACATGCTCCTGCCACCATGATGTTCCACTTAAGCATGTAGGGCCAAGCAACCATAGACTGAACCCTCTGAAACTATGAGCTGAAATAAATCTTTCCTCCTTTTAAATTGTTTGTGGCAGACATTCTGTCACAGTGATAAGAAAGCCAACCAATACAAAGCCATCAACAAAATTAATTTAAAATGGATTGCAGACCTAAATGTAAAACACAAAACTGTAAAACTTCTTGAGGACAGCACAGGGACTATGACTTTCTAAATGCAACATCAGAGGCATAACCATGAAGGAATTGATAAGCTATGCTTAATTAAAATTAAAATTTTCTTCTTAAGAAAACCACTGTCAAAAGAGTGAAAAGGTAAGGCACAGACTGAAAGAAAATATTTGCAAAAGACTTATCTGATAGAAGACTCTTATTCAAAATATATAAAGAGCTGGATGGCCTTCACAAAAATAGGGCTAGTGGAATGGCTCAAGGTGAAGGCCCTGAGATCAAGCCCCAGTACTGCAAAAAAACAAACAAAAAAACCAGCAAAATATACAGAGAACTCTGAGAGCTCAAGGATAAAATAAACAACCTAACTAAAAGAAAATGGATTTTGGTTCCACATGTGTGACTTTGCCAAAAGAGATGCACAGATGGTGAATAAGCATACGAAAAGATGCTCCATGTCATATGTCATCAGGGAGATGCAAATTAAAACAACAAGGACATACACTATACACCCATAAGTGGCCAAAACCCAGAACACTGACAAATTTTGGAAAGTCTGTGAAATAAAAATGCTCATTCATTGCTGGTAGGAATGCAGCAATACAGCCTTTTGGGAAGACAGTTTAGCAGTTTCTCACAAAACTAAACATATATGGTCTAGCAATTGCAGTCCTTAATATTTGCCCAAAGGGACTGAAAATGTATGCCCACACAAAAACCTGAACATGGATGTTATGGCAGCTTTATTTTTAATTGGCCAAATTTGGAAGCAGCTAAGATATCCTTCAGTAGGAGAATGGATAAGGAACCCATGATGCATCCAGACAGTGGAATATTATTCTGCACTAATAAGCTACTATCCGTGAAAATGTGGAAGAACCTCAAACACTGCCAAACAAAAGGAGCCAATCTGAAAAGGCCATGTACTGTATGATTCCGTCTGTGTAATGTTCTGGAAAAAGCAAAATTATGGAGACAATAAAAAGGTCAGGCACTGCAGGGATTAGGAGCAGCCTGGTAATGATGAACAAGTAGAGCACAAATTTTCTCAAGGACAGTGAAATTATTCCGTATGACACTGAGATGGTAGGCATGAGCCATTCTGCGTTTGTCCAAGCTCATAGAATGGTCAACACCAAGAGTGAACCCAAGTGTGAACTATAGACACGTAAGGATGTGTCAGTGTAGGGTTGTTAGTTGTAACAAGTGTACCACTCCATGGGCGGAGAACATGTGTGTGAGAGTAAGGTCTGTTCACCTAAAATTGCTTTTAAAAAAATTAAGTCACTTAAAAATATCTGGATAAACTAAGGCCATTTCCGTCTCTACACTGCAGATCAAGCAAGATTCAATATGTATGATGTGGTGTAGGCTGTGCCCTGCTCTGTTACTCCATATCGTACAGGGCAGTCACTAGCTTTCAGCCTTTGTCTTGCTCTGAATGACTCCATTTTATAAAACAGCAGTTTGCTCATTTTGAGTGCAAATGCTGAGGAAGAGCAATTCTACATCTTGTTTATGCAAGTAACAACCCCCATCTGTCCAGCCCAAACCATGAGGCAGACTGACACTTATGCAAATAAGATTACCACCTATGAACTCACCAAATTAAATCAAGCATGCCCATATCAGAAAAACTAGGCTTATCCTTCACACCAGACCATGTAATGATGCAGCCCTCTCACCAGAACCATATAAACAGAGGGACACCTAAGTACTGGGGTACTGTGGCACAGTACCCCAATATATGTTATTAGACAATTAGGTGAGTGAATGCATCATGGACTGACCCCACCTCCCACCCCACTCCAGACCCACTAAGCTTGGAAGTGGCTCTGTGCCTTGAACCAGTATTGAGCTTTGATCTAGCTCTGCACTTTGATATCACTACACCTCAACAGCTCTGTGATGGGTATTATGTTAATATCTTATTCAACTACCAGCAAGAACCCTCTTTGCAACTATATCAGCCCTAAGGTTCTTGCCTTCCACAAGGTGTCTTTGAACCCTAAACTTGCTTTAACCTTTTGTTAGCAATTCTGTAACCTCTACATTTAAGATGGGAGTGAAAGAACCTGCTTGCCAATGGTTCATGTCTGTCAAGTGATATCAGTAGTACTTGGCAAATTAATGCCAAAAAATTGGCATAACTTGTGGACTTATTGTTATTTAATAACTTCTGACATTGTGGAAGAATACAAACATGTCTGACTATGCTGCTGACATAGCTTGCTCAGGGCATATGACTTTTGTGGAAATGTCTATGGAAAAATACCATAGACTCAAATCTCAAAGGTCATTGACAACCAACTTTCACCAGCCAATAATTTGACAATACTCTATGGAACCAATTAACACCAGACTGGACTATTGTACACAATATCCTGTTATCTTTTTCCTAAACTATTTAATAATAGTTATATAAATGGCAAAAAAATTAGAAGCAACTCAGATTGGTTGTGAATGTTATAGTTTATAAAGAGCTTTTACACTAGCATCACACTTGATACTGTCTACTACCCCACTCTGAAAAGGCCTGGGAAAAAAATAATAAGCAAGCAAACAAAACCTGAGTTTTGATATCTTAGGAAGTTGCCCAGTGTCATGTGACTAGTAGTCAGTGGAGGCAAGATTCAAAGGGAGGCCTCCTTGCTGTAATATACCATTGCACTTCCTTCTACCCCTTTTTCCCTGTGACCGCACCTACAAAAATGCTAGAAAGTGTCATTTCTGTGCCACCAGGGAGCCTGAAACAACAGTCTTAGGAGTGTCACCTGTGGGGAAACTGCAGTCACAAAGGACATGTTCTGTGCTTTAAATTTTGTAATTCACTTCATGGGCACATGTTTTACTCGCTCTGGTTTTGCTATAAAATAAAGCTTGGGGTTTTCCACAATCCTTTAATTATATTATCAAATAATGAGTAATATTATTGCTGTTTAATGTAATATTAAAGTTGCAGAAAATACATGTTCTGTACTTACTCCTTCTTTTAACAACCCTGAAGTGTAGTTTTCCCTACTATGCTGAAGAAAGGGTTTCAGGTGATCTCTTTTTCTCTCTTTTTCTCAAAAAGGTATGGCAGGATAGTCATTTACTTAATATCCTGTTTTGGTGTTGGCGTCACTGGTGTCGTGGTGGCATTTGCACCAAATTTCCCTGTGTTTGTGATCTTCCGCTTCCTGCAAGGTGTGTTTGGAAAGGGAACGTGGATGACATGCTTCGTGATTGGTAAGACTTGGTTGTTCACCTCCTTCTGCATGCGAACCAGGGCCATATTGCCAAGATCTACTGCCTGGTGGCCCTCTCTGGGTCATCCCCAATATAAACCTTGGAGGCCTCATTGCAGCTGCAGGAACATTTTCTGTCTTAGAAACTGATACTGTTTTAATGTGGGGATCAAACATGGAACATGAAACACTGGACAACCTGCTTCTGAGCACTCTCAGGGGAGTTATCACATCTTCTAACTTTGTCTTATTACAATTAGTTTCCATCAAAGTTTAAGTAGATCTTTGAAACAACATTTTCAAGCATTGTGTGTGTTATCTGTGCTATAGTTTGAGTTACTCTCCTGTGTTCTCATATTATTTCTTTTCTCTCCTTTCATATATATGGAGACTTTTTACCAAGTGGGAGATACATCCTAACCATGGGAAGTTTATTTGTGAGCTTTACTGCCTCCCAAAACTAGAAAGTTTGATCTTCTGAGTATGAAAGAAGGAAAATCTTCCCTCTGCCTTTTGCTGATATTACATGGAGAAGTCACTACTACTACTACCTCCTTTGACTCTTGTTTGTAGCACAGTACCAATTGCTGACTTTCATCACGGTGGAATCAAGACTAAGGAAATGAGAATGTTTACCTTCCATTACTGTTCCTCACTACTGGGCTTCCACTCGCCCCCATTACTGCTGTATAAGACCCAAGCAATGCTTACTTAAGAAACCATTTCAAGATCTTTTTATGGGTGGGAAAAGGAGAAAGGGTACTAAGAGGGACTGATTGTCACTGGTTGGATTGAAGGGATAACTTGAAAATGTGAGGCATTTTTTAAGGAAACCCAAGTCTATGGGAATGCTCAAAGCTCTGAAAATAAGGTAGCTTATTCCAGGATGACCAGAATAGAAGAAACAATTAGTGGAAAGGGACAGAGGATTCCAGCAATAAAAGTTTTAATAAATTATTTTCATAGAAAAAACACACACATAAATGACAAGTTGAACACTTCTGGGGTGAATTATCATTTAATACAAACTAACTTGTGATAATGAAAAGTCTTTGCAGAGACTGAAGTTGTTAATGAATCTCCCAAAGAGACTGTAATATACAAATCATTAGAGATACAGTGATGGAATTTAACTGGTTTGCTACACCTCTGTTTTGACAATTACAATTACCTTCCAAGACAGACGTCATCGAAGCTTTCCTAAAACCAACATGTACGTTCTTTGTATCCCTGGCCATGCCCAGAAGGGCACAGGAAAAGAAAAATGGCAGAGAGAGTGAGAGGAAAGCATCCAAGGTGTCTGGAAAATGCGCCTCCAGTGCTTCAACAAATGTGGGAACATCCATGCTCTTGATTTCCAGGGTGTCCAGCAGTGCTGATGGATTCCACATGTAAAGTCTCGGTGTTTGTTTGTCTACTGTGGACCTGATCGTGAGCTCCCCTAACCTCTTGTGTTTGTTTTCCTTCAGTGACAGAAATCGTAGGTTCAAAACAAAGGAGAATTGTAGGGATAGTGATCCAAATGTTCTTCACGCTCGGCATCATAATTCTCCCTGGAATCGCCTACTTCATCCCCAATTGGCAAGGGATACAGCTCGCCATAACGCTGCCCAACTTTCTCTTCCTCCTTTACTACTGGTAATGTGGTGCTGGCAGTTATTGTATTTATAGTCTTATTCCTCAGGAATGGGAATCCAAACCAACAAGAAAATGAAAGGAATAAAGGAGATTTTCTAACATCTCCAGAACAGCTAATGGGCTTTGAGAAGTTTCAGAGAATTTGAGAATGTACAGCAATTATGAGTTATTCGATTAATAGTTGTCCCTAAAAATATAATACAAAAACCACAATATACTAAACAGAATGTTGCATTATGCTTCATTGTTTTGCAATATTTTCGTGCAAACTATGAGGCAACCAACTATAGCTGCCAGTATTCAAATGCAAATCAAGTGCAATGAAATTGACTTGATTCACTGTAGGTTCTATTAAATAAATTAGCATTACTCAGGAGCTCTCTGAGGAATAAGAAAATGTTAGGAGCATCAGAAAATTAAATCACCAAGAAGCTTCAAGTGCATACATTTGTGTTTTACTGGCACAAAGATATCTCAATCGTTCTCATTAAATTTTAATATATGGCAAATCAATTTACATAAATCTAGTTCTTAACCTTTCCTAAATACTCATTAGTTCTTCTCATATTTGTAATCAAAGACGTGGCAGTAAAGGGTAGCCTTGCAAGAGCAATGTAATAGCGATGATCTTTATAAGCAATGATTCAAACATTGTCAAGTCATCATTTTCCACTCCTAAATTTGCAAAGATAATCTGTATTTCAGAGAGCTTATTATCAGCTCTGAGAACTGCCCCAACTTGTACCTTATCGCAAGATCCACTTTGTTAGAGAAACTCAAGTCATACACTTTTAAGTTTTGAAATAACTAACATTACTCAGAAAAGTTTGTTTCCTGTCCAGGGTGGTTCCTGAATCTCCCCGCTGGCTGATTACTCGGAAGCAAGGGGACAAAGCATTGCAAATTCTGAGGCGAATTGCAAAATGCAACGGGAAGTATCTTTCGCCAAATTACTCAGAGGTAACTCTATTCTTTACCAGTGTTGAATACTGTTAAATTGGGTGAATTAATTTTTGTCACTTCAACATTTAATTTTGCTTCTTAAAAGTATATGTGTATTACCCAATGTCTGACTATATCTTCTTCAGTGGAGGAAAATTGATCATTCCAGTCCTAGCTTAATAGTTGCACCAGGTTATCTGAATTATTATAATTTATCTGCTGTTAGCCCACCCCCACTATTAACCAGTTCATTTTGATTGCACAAACTAAATCTGTTCTTGTTTTTAGTTTTCTGATCTTTTATTTTGCAATGCTGGGAATTATACCCAGGTCTTGTGCCTGCTAGGCAAAGTGCTCCACCAATGAGCTGCACCCCAACCCTTTATTTATTTATTTATTTAAAAATTTTTATTTTATTCATATGTGCATACATTGTTTGGGTCATTTCTCCCCCCTTTACACTGCCCCCTCCCTTACCCCCCCTCACTCTCTCCCTTACTTACTCTTCCTTACCCCTCGCTACCAGGCAGAAACTATTCTGCCCTTATCTATAATTTAGTTGAAAAGAGAGTATAAACAATAATAGGAAGGAACAAGGGTTTTTGCTATTTGAGATAAGAATAGCTATACAGGGAGTTGATATGCATTGATTTCCTGTGCATGTGAGTTACCTTCTAAGTTAATTCTTCTCGAACTAACCTTTTCTCTAGTTCCTGGTCCCCTTCTCTTATTGGCCTCAGTTGCTTTAAAGTATCTGCTTTAGTTTCTCTGTGTTGAAGGCAACAAATGCTGTCTAGTTTTTTGGGTATCTTATCTATCCTCATACCTTCCTTGTGTGTTCTCGCTTTATCATGTGATCAAAATCCAATCCCCTTGTTGTGTTTGCCCTTGATCTAATGTCCACATATGAGGGAGAACATACGATTTTTGGTCTTTTGGGCCAGGCTAACCTCACTCAGAATGATGTTCTCCAATTCCATCCATTTACTTGAAAATGATAGCATTTCGTTCTTCGTGGCTGCATAAAATTCCATTGTGTATAGATACCACATTTTCTTAATCCATTCGTCAGTGGTGGGGCATCTTGGCTGTTTCCATAACTTGGCTATTGTGAATAGAGCCGCAATAAACATGGGTGCGCAGGTGCCTCTGGAGTAACCTGTGTCACAGTCTTTTGGGTGTATCCCCAAGAGTGGTATTGCTGGATCAAATGGTAGATCAATGTTTAGGTTTTTAAGTAGCCTCCAAATTTTGTTCCAGAGTGGTTGTACTAGTTTACATTCCCACCAACAGTGTAAGAGGGTTCCTTTTTCCCCGCATCCTCGACGACACCTGTTGTTGGTGGTGTTGCTAATGATGGCTATTCTAACAGGGGTGAGGTGGAATCTTAGCGTGGTTTTAATTTGCATTTCCTTTATTGCTAGAGATGGTGAGCATTTTTTCATGTGTTTTTTGGCCATTTGAATTTCTTCTTTTGAGAAAGTTCTGTTTAGTTCACTTGCCCATTTCTTTATTGGTTCATTAATTTGGAGAGAATTTAGTTTTTTGAGTTCCCTATATATTCTGGTTATCAGTCCTTTGTCTGATGTATAGCTTGGCAAATATTTTCTCCCACTCTGTGGGTGTTCTCTTCAGTTTAGAGACCATTTCTTTTGATGAACAGAAGCTTTTTAGTTTTATGAAGTCCCATTTATCTATGCTATCTCTTAGTTGCTGTGCTGCTGGGGTTCATTGAGAAAGTTCTTACCTATACCTATAATCCAGAGTATTTCCTACTCTTTCCTGTATCAACTTTAGAGTTTGGGTCTGATATTAAGATCCTTGATCCATTTTGAGTTAATCTTGGTATAGGGTGATATACATGGATCTAGTTTCAGTTTTTTGCAGACTGCTAACCAGTTTTCCCAGCAGTTTGTTGAAGAGGCTGCTTTTCTCCATCGTATATTTTTAGCTCCTTTGTCAAAGAAAGTTGGTTATAGTTGTGTGGCTTCATATCTGGGTCCTCTATTCTGTTCCACTGGTCTTCATGTCTGTTTTTGTGCCAGTACCATGCTGTTTTTATTGTTATTGCTTTGTAATATAGTTTGAAGTCAGGTATTGTGATACCTCCAGCATTGTTCTTTTGACTGAGTATTGCCTTGGCTATTCGTGGCCTCTTGTGTTTCCATATAAATTTACAGTAGATTTTTCAATCTCTTTAATGAATGTCATTGGAATTTTGATGGGAATTGCATTAAACATGTAGATTACTTTTGGGAGTATAGACATTTTTACTATGTTGATTCTACCAATCCATGAGCATGGGAGATCTCTCCACTTTCTATAGTCTTCCTCAATCTCTTTCTTCAGAAGTGTATAGTTTTCCTTGTAGAGGTCTTTCACATCTTTTGTTAGGTTTACACCTAGGTATTTGATTTTTTTTGAGGCTATTGTAAATGGAATTGTTTTCATACATTCTTTTTCAGTTTGCTCATTATTAGTGTATAGAAATGCTAATGATTTTTCTATGTTGATTTTATATCCTGCTACCTTGCTATAGCTATTGATGATGTCTAGAGCTTTGAGTAGAGTTTTTTGGGTCTTTAAGGTATAGGATCATGTCATCTGCAAATAGGGATATTTTGACAGTTTCTTTACCTATTTGTATTCCTTTTATTCCTTCTTCTTGCCTAATTGCTCTGGCTAGGAATTCCAGTACTATGTTGAATAGGAGTGGAGATAGTGGGCATCCTTGTCTGGTTCCTGATTTTAGAGGGAATGGTTTCAGTTTTTCTCCGTTAAGTATAATGCTGGCTGTAGGTTTGTCATATATAGCTTTTATAATGTTGAGGTACTTTCCTTCTATTCCTAGTTTTCTTAGAGCTTTTATCATGAAATGGTGTTGGATCTTATCAAAGGCTTTTTCTGCATCTATTGAGATGATCAAGTGGTTTTTGTCTTTGCTTCTGTTAATGTGGTTTATTACGTTTATTGATTTTCGTATGTTGAACCACCCCTGCATCCTGGGATGAAGCCTACTTGGTCGTGGTGAATAATCTTTTTGATGTGTTGTTGAATTCGGTTTGCCATTATTTTGTTGAGGATTTTTGCATCAATGTTCATTAAGGAGATTGGCCTATAGTTCTCCTTTTTGGAGGTGTCTTTGCCTGGTTTTGGGATAAGTGTAATACTGGCTTCATAAAATGTGTTTGGCAGTTTTCCTTCCCTTTCTATTTCGTGGAACAGTTTAAGGAGGGTTGGTATCAGTTCTTCTTTAAAGGTCTGATAGAATTCAGCAGAGAATCCATCAGGTCCTGGACTTTTCTTTTTGGGGAGACTCTTGATTGCTGCTTCAATTTCATTTTGTGTTATAGATCTATTCAGGTGATTAATTTCCTCTTGGTTCAGTTTTGGATGATCATATGTATCTAGAAATCTGTCCATTTCTTTAAGATTTTCAAATTTATTTGAATATAGGTTCTCAAAGTAGTCTCTGATGATTTCCTGGACTTCCATGGTGTTTGTTGTTATCTCCCCTTTTGCATTCCTGATTCTACTAATTTGGGTTTTTTCTCTCCTCATTTTAGTCAGGTTTGCCAGGGGTCTATCGATCTTGTTTATTTTTTCAAAGAACCAACTTTTTGTTTCATTAATTCTTTGTATGGTTTTTTTGGTTTCTATTTCATTGATTTCAGCTCTTATTTTTATTATTTCTCTCCTTCTATTTGTTTTGGGATTTGCTTGTTCTTGTTTTTCTAGGAGTTTGAGATGTATCATTAGGTCATTAATTTGGATCTTTCAGTCTTTTTAATATATGCACTCATGGCTATAAACTTTCCTCTCAGGACTGCCTTTGCTGTGTCCCATAGGTTCCAGTAGGTTGTGTTTTCATTTTCATTGACTTCCAGGAACTTTTTAATTTCCTCTTTTATTTCATCAATGACCCATTGTTCATTAAGCAATGAGTTATTTAGTTTCCAGCTGTTTGCATGTTTTTTGTCTTTATTTTTGCAGTTGAGTTCTAGTTTTATTGCATTGTGATCAGATAGAATGCATGGTATAATTTCTATTTTCTTATATTTGCTGAGGCTTGCTTTGTGCCCTAGGATATGATCTATTTTGGAGAAGGTTCCATGGGCTGCTGAGAAGAATGTATATTGTGTAGAAGTTGGATGAAATGTTCTGTAGACATCAACTAGGTCCATTTGATCTATTGTATATTTTAGATCTTGGATTTCTTTATTGATTTTTTGTTTGGATGACCTATCTATTGATGATAATGGGGTGTTAAATCTCCCATGACCACTGTGTTGGAGTTAATATATGCTTTTAGGTCCTTCAGGGTATGTTTGATGAAATTGGGTGCATTGACATTGGGTGCATATAGGTTGACAATTGTTATTTCCTTTTGGTCTATTTCCCCTTTTATTAGTATGGAATGTCCTTCTTTATCTCATTTGATCAATGTAGGTTTGAAGTCTACTTTGTCAGAGATAAGTATTGCTACTCCTGCCTGTTTTCGGGGGCCATTGGCTTGGTAAATCTTCTTCCAGCCTTTCATCCTAAGCCTATGCTTATTTCTGTGTGAGATGGGTCTCCTGTAAGCAACAAATTGTTGGATCTTCCTTTTTAATCCATTTCGTCAAGCGGTGCCTTTTGATGGGTGAATTAAGTCCATTAACATTAAGTGTTAGTACTGATAGGTATGTGGTGATTCCTGTCATTTAGTTGTCTTAGTTGTTTGAAGGTTTGATTGTGTGTACCTAAGTTGAGGTTACTCTCTACTGTCTTGCTTTTTCTTTTCCTGTGTTTGGTGCTGCCTGTCTTTTCATGGTTAAGTTGGGTTTCACTTTCTGTGTGCAGAATCCCTTGAAGAATCTTTTGTAGTGGTGGCTTTGTGGTCACATATTGTTTTAGTTTCTGCTTATCATGGAAGACTTTTATTGCTCCATCTATTTTGAATGATAGTTTTGCTGGGTAGAGTATCCTGGGGTTGAAGTTATTTTCATTCAGTGCCCGGAAGATCTCACCCCAAGCTC